ATCCCCTCAAGTACAAAACCATTATGCTTCTCCTTAAATAGTTGGCCAGTAGCACTTCAAAATATCCTTTAATTCTTACAACATGGGAACTGTATCCCGTGAGTCTATCTGATACTGTCTTCTTGCAGCAGTGTGCTTTAAAGAAATGCTCTTCACCTTTCTCTGGTGCTATTCCTGTACATCTAGGACCTGATCTCTCTGCAGCTGTGTACATGCAGGCATACTGTTCTTATTCCCACTACCAACACAGCTGTTACATCAAGTTCTTTGGTGCTGCCAACCCTGCTAGTCCTTCTACTTTTGCTGCAAAGCTTTTAAACTAACATGGGTATTCTGGATTTTCTAGAAAGTTGCCAGCTTTGGTTTCTGTTTCAAGGACTAAGAATGATTCAGTTTCTCAGACAAAGTGACAGAATAGCTAGTGGTTTTTGAAACAGTGACCACTCTGCCCAATTCTTATTTTTCTTTCTTTATTTATTGTTCATAGAACTCCAGACCATACATACTTTCTCTCCATAAAAGTCAGGGACAACATTTTGTAAATATGGTTCTGAATGTTACAGAACCCCATTTTTTAAAGTATTTAATGACTGTGTAGTTACTTTTCAGGGGCCTGATTTGTAGAAATGCTATTTTATCCCAACTTTCAGTCACACTGGCAGGTTGCTCATCACTTCTGAGAAATGAATCCACAAGTATCTTATTTTTAAAAGCTAAACAACCCCTCAGAAGATAAGGCAACAGAAAAACAACTCTTTGGGGCCGGAATGGCTGCTGGCCTAAGCCAAAGCTCACTGCTGTCCACTGAGGGGTTTTAGTGACTCCAAGATGCCTCAAAGCTGGTCCCTGAATGTAAAGGATGGACGCAGCTGCTTATGTCACTGAGTGCCCACGGTGGGAAGATGGAGCAGCCACAGCAGGCCTTTCACCTTGCTTCCAAATACCCTGGGTATTGGTAGGGGTTTTCTTCAACCATACCATAATACTTCTCTTTTAAAAGCCAGGCTATCTTCAGAATGGGCTAGCACCATTGATCACATCCCTCTTGATGGGTATTCTCAGTTTCTGTTTGGTGAAGAGTATCCTCAGTATTGAGTTACAACTGGAAATCCCGAATGCAATGAATTTATCCAAAGAATTCTGTACAACTAAATGCCAAACAATGAAAAGAATGAGAATACCCACTGCTGTACATAATTCTCTCTTGCAAATAGCACGAATTCAGGATCCAAAAACTAAGGTAAAAGGTTATTGCTGAGCAATTCTATTCAGGAACTCAACAACTGTAACACAAACCAACCAGAAATAATGTCCCACATCAGGCCAATAGCAACTGCTCAACAAAGGAAGACTTCTGCTTACTTGAAGTCATTGAAGTCAAGTTACTATTTTTTGTCTAACGAATATATTGCTTTCTTTCTATTGCTCTGAGTTCAGTCAGCAGCTTATAGTATGTGCAACATGGAGGATTTTATTGCTCTTGTGCTAAAAACGTATTTCCCCTTATTGCTCAAATCTTACTGTTAGGAGAAATGGTTAAAAAAAAGGATAATTTAAAAAAAATTCTCTCCCAGGCTTTGAGGATGAATATATGAAAAAACTGACCATAGTAAGTTTTGCCCATCAAGATACCACCTGTTACTAACTTCGAGTCAAGCATGTTAATAAATAAAAATGAACTTTAATTCTTTAAACTAAATTATGCATTAAGAAAAAAGTCTTTTGTCATTATGATGGACACATGAAAGATACTTCACTGTACATGGAATGGTGAATCTAACACTCCTGGTCTCATGCACAGATGTTGTTTGATGGGACAACAAAATGACAGAATCCTGCAAGCTGGCTGATTTCTGTGAGTTTCAGAGGGATCTTTGATGGACGCTGGCACGTCACCATCCAGAACCGAGGCCTACACTCTAACTCTGAGGTGGCAGCAGAGAATCCCTTAATTCTGCAGGGCCTGGAAAGTGGCTGTTTGTCAAGCTTTGCTTTTGTGCAAGTGAGGTAGGCAGCTCTGTAGCCACAGGTCTGCCCCTACTCCCAAGAGCTCATTCACAGGTGTGTTAGGGAGCATCTACCCAGGACTGCGAACCGTGTTAAACTTTGGGCAGACAGCTGTGGGCAAACCTGTGTCATTGACTTCCAAAAGGATTTTCTGGCCTGTGCTGCAGTCTCAATTTAAGAACGTATTTGTGGAAGAGAAAACAGCCTCACTGGAGGTCACAGCAGTAGCTTGGGAGGCATAATCATGGTTCTCATCTGTTTGTGGTGAAAGGTAACCACACGCTGCTGCTCAAACGAGGGCAAATCACATCCCTACGCGCTAGCTTTGTGGGACTCCTATAATTAATCCTTCTTTCCTCCATTTGACTCGCACTGCTGCTCAGGAGAGGAGCTTCCAATTACAAATCTCTCTGCTCTGGCACAAATAAAAGGTCAGGTCCCCTGGCACTCTGGAGAGTCTCTGTGGATTTGAGCAGCCTGTGGAGTGAGGAAGATGAGAAGGACACTAGGTGAACCAGCATGAGAAGAGGGGGTGACATTATCTCCCTCTGTGCTGGTGTTTTCTGGCCTCCCTACCACCAGGGTGTTGTGGAGAGAAAACCACTAGTGCCTGTGAGGTTATCCAAGAGGATGAGAACAGGTCTGCAGAAGCAAAACAATAGTTGCCCTCAGGACTGAATTTTGGTCACAGTTGTAGCTGCTCATCTTCATCACACTTTTTAACAATTTGATACAGAAGAACAAGTGGGGGGAAAAAAGGGGCTGGTAAACTTTGTATAACTTTAACTTATTTTTTGCTTTTACAAGTGCCATTCTACATTTTTCAGCCTCTCTACATTATTCAGCTCATTACTTTTACTGCCATTTATTCCCAGTGCTTTGCATACTTGCAAAACTGCACGCATACATAGTATGGATATTTATGAAGTGATTATTTCTTATACAAAAGTTCATAACAAAATGCAATGACTAGAGTTTTGTTAGCATTCAGAAGTAGATAAAGAACACCAATATCCTACAGTGAGCAGGGGCTATAGTCTAACTGTGCTGAGCATCTGTAAATCGCCGTGAAGCCAAGGGAGCTGCAAGTTCACAGCTCCACTGGACCATGCCATGCAATTAAACCAATCAGATTACAAAGCAAGAGCCAAATATCATAAAGGTTGAACCAAGTAAATAATGGAATTTGAACCCAGCATTGCAACTAAAATTAATTATTGCTCATAAAAATCTCTACAGAGCCTTGTTTACAGACAACTCATTCACATTGGAGATTCAGCTTTGTGTATAGCATGATTCTTAACATCACAGCAACTTTGCCACAAAAAGCTACAGTCATCCAAACGTCCATGTGAAAAGGACAGATTCCATTTGGAAAAATCCAGACCAGCAACACAGTTGTCTCTACTATCTATACTATACAGGTATATTTTTTTCACTGAACTGTAAATATTGCTATTTTTACACTTGAGTTTGTTGGGTTTTTTTAAACTGCAATGGAAGATACTGAAGCAACAACACAGTATGCTGACTTGGACGTTCAAGGGAATATAACCTCCTACTGCTGATGCTGATGCCAGGGCATTAACACACCGAGCTCCCATCGGTACTAATGGAAGCGGTACGATGAACTCCCATGCACTGACATCAGGGTACACCTCAAGTTTCACAGAGACATCTGCCAGGAAGATTTTCTCTCTAACAATCAAACCTTCTAATTAGAAAACAGTGTTTTATTTCTAGTGCATTCTAATGTGGCTTCAGTAAAAGGTTAGAAGTGGTTTGAAATTTAACCATTAATGAGAGGAAGCTCTGCTCTTTAGACCAGAACTATCGTCCTATAATGAAGTGAACTGACATGCGTACAGTGCAAAGCATCTCAGTCTGTAATGGATGAAACTGCCAGAAAAGGAGAAAATATTGTTTCATGTTGCAGTTCTGGTTGCATACAATTATGAGCCAGATACGCTCTGAGAATTTATAAACTTCAGTATTTTAAATTATAAAGCAGAACAATGAAAACAAGTGGTAATAGTTTTGACTTGATAAGAAACTTAAGGGAAACCATTTCACATAGATGATAAATATGTGTTGCAAGCAATTTGTGGGTTATTTTATTAGATCTTTTCTCATACACTCTGAAAAGATAAATTTGTCTGGGAAACTTAGTGTTGCATCTATGACAAACGCATGGCCAAAAGAGGCCATACTGTTTCATCAGTTTTGAAATTCCCCCTGAATTCCTTTTAAAATTAATAGTATAATGAGATCTGATGTCCCATATCTAAATGAAAACATATGGCTGACTTTTGAAAAGGAAGGCAAAGCGTATCTTCTGTTTTAACATTCAGACAGAACTCAGGAGAGAACAGGTAACCCTTTAAAGCAATTATCAAGCTAATTCATGCTGAGATGTAAAATAAAAAGCTCCACAAGTACTTCCTCCCTTAGAGCAAATTTGTTGCACTGACATTATTACAATAATTACCATATAAATCAGTACAATTGGCCATTATTTTGAAGAGTATTCTAATGATATACAAATGGGGTAACAGGATTTGGTTGTTTGGGGCTTTTTTTTCCCAGTTTTAAAAAGAATGAAAGAGGGGAAAAAAATATCCTGACAACAGACTATAACATGCAGTATGACAGAACTCAATCACAGAAACGATTTCAAAGGAGGTATGCTGCTTCAATCTATTTTTAATTATCAAACTTAAGGTAAAATCATGGCAAAGCCTGGGTAATATAACAAAAGACCCTGAGCAACATTATAAATCTGTAACACTGATCATTTTGATTTTGGAAACCTCCCTTAAACCACTGGATTCATTTGGGTCACTGGGGTTTTCTGTTTACAAGAAGGTCAGTGCATCCTGTGGTTTTTATATGAACCCATCACACACCATTTAATGAAATGCATCTAAACCAAAGACAGTGTTGCAAGAATGTCTGGAAAGTGACACGTTAAGGAGCGTCCTCCTAGCTGCCAATCAGACATCACTGGGTGATCTTGCCCTCTGAGACAGGTTAGAAGGAATACAGCCACAACAGATGAGCCAAAGTGCTTTCTGTATCTCCTGGTTTCTAAAAGCATATATTACAGGATTGATGATGGAATTGTAGGTAGCTGGCAGGAGGGTGGCATAGGTGTATATAGAAGGATAGGTGTAATCTGCTATTAAAGAATAGAGTGTAAAAGGCATCCAGCAAGCAGCAAAAGTCCCCAAAATAATGGCCAGAGTAGACACTCCTTTTCGGGTGGTCACATAGTGGGAAGTGGCCAGGAAATGGTGTTGCAAGGCAATCTGATGGGCATGGCGCATCACGATTTTACAGATTTGAATGTAGAGCTGCAGCATGAGGGCAAACATAAGCAAGAAAGAGACCGAAAGGACAGCTGCATTATTTTTAGTGAGTGGTCTGATAACACTGCAGGTGGATTCATCTCTGAGGCAGTTCCAGCCCATTACAGGCAGCAGTCCAATACAGATAGATGCTCCCCAGAGCAGTATGAGCATGACATAGGTAAAAGTGACAGTCCTCTCTGAATTGTAAGTCAAAGCGTAATACAGGGAGAGGTAACGATCAACAGTAATAGCCAGCAAGCTGCTGACAGATGCTGAGAAAGAGGCAACAATCAGTCCAATCGTAACCAGCTTCGTAGCTTCTGATTGCAGAAGGTATGCAAAAACGAAATTGATGATCAATCCAATGCCCGCCAAGAGATCTGCCAGCGCCAGGCTGCCTATCAGGAGGAACATAGGGGCACGAAGACTGGGATTATGGAAAATGATAAGAACCACAATGGCATTTTCACAGGAGATAAGGGTCCCTGAAGTACACAAGACAATGTCCCAGGGGTTTACCAAAAGCTCTGGCTCTGGGTCTACGACAGGAACCAGGGAGGAGCCTGCGGCTGAGGCATTTTCGGTAGAGCTGGCTTCTACATGATCCTGAGGCAGCCAGCTCAAATTAACCTTCAGATCTTCATTCATTTTAACCCCTGTCTTCTTCAATGGAAAGACATTTATTTTAATGTTCAGACACAGCACTGGATACAGCACCCCCAGAGCATGCAACGCCCTAGACGGTGACACCAACCTAATGTGCAGGCAGGCACTTGTTACATAAATATGAGCAAAAAACACCACCCCCAAAACAAAAAACTCCCAAAAAACCGAGGGGAAAAAATGCTTAAAACTGCCCGAGATTCTGTGCCAAGGGACTGACACAGGGAGGCTGAGGGATTCTAACGGCAATTCCCCTCACCTGCATAGGGAAGAGGGAACAGTCACGGGAGGGAGCCCATGAAACAGCTGACACCC